TAATTTATACACTATTCTTTAACCGCAATACGTTGTCTTGCTGAGAAGTGGATGAAAGATCTGCATCCATGCTCTAACAAAGTTTTTATGTAAAACATACGACTTACTGGATAAGTGAACAGATGCTAAGAAGGATAAATATTAACAGCATTGTTGAGAGGTAGATGCATGGATAATATTATTTTCCACATGCCTTGAAATAAAATGTTTACTTGAGGTCTTATGTAAATGTTTTCCTCTGATACGTTTTTATCTTATTGTACATCACGGTCATATATAGGCTTTGTCATGACAACCATATACTGGTAGCTAACTAAAAATCAAATCGATGACTAGCACTCCTATCCTGTTTACAACAATCCGAAAAAGTAAAAAAATACTAACACTTCATTTCATATTAACAGGATGAATGTTTATGCTGTTTATCATACTTTTATATTGATTAAATACACATAAATTAATTGTAAACCCTAATTTCGATTGTTTCGACTGTTGCATAACATATAGCCGTTTTTAGAGTGCGTTGAACACTAATGGTTTGATGTTGAACAGTGAGAAAGATTTAAAAAACGTTAGCTTGAGACCAATGATGATTACAATTATTATTCTGTGATGAGCATTCTCTTGTGATAGTTTCGGTTATAGATAAACGCCCTTACTTACGTCTATTATCCCTCATGGAGGAGCTTGGGCCACCAACCAGCATTCTTCACCCAACCTTGTCCCTGGAAATTCTTCGCAGTTGCTATTCATTCTTTTCATATTTGTTCCCGACGTAATGTGTCCTTTGGCCATTCTCTTCTCCGTTTCTTTTCGGGATTAGAAGTTGGGGCTTGTCTCGTGATGTAGTTTGGTGATTTCCGTAATGTATATTCAATCCACTTCCAGCGTCTCTTCCGAAATTCCTCACCAGCTGGAAGTTGGTTTGTTCTCTCTCACAGTAGGCAGTTGCTGATGGTATCCGACCAACGGATATTGAGCAACTTGCGTAGACAATTGTTTACTATTACGTTTTTGATGCTTGTTGTAGTAGTTCTCAAAGTTTCAGCTCCGTACAGTATAACTGTATTGACGTTCGTATTGAAGACTGTGACTGATGTTGGCTGACAGCTGTTTTGAGTTCTATATGTTCTTCAACCGTGAGAATACTGTTCTTACCTTGCCATCTACATTAAATCCTCCTTGTTTATCGTTGATGCCGTCCGGGTACATAACATTTTTCAACCTTTCCAGAGTTTCTCCATCAAATATGACAATGTTGGCGTTCATGTTGTATTTGGGGATCTTGCTTTGTCTCTTGTGTGTGTTGAGTCCTACTGCTGCAGAGGCTTCTGCTACACTAGTTGTCTTGGCCTGCACTTGTTGATGTGTATGGAATAGAAGGGCCAGATCACCTTTGATGTTCAAATCGTCTAGTTGCATCCAAGATGTCCACTGTGTTCCGTGCTTCCCCTAAGATTTCGGAGTTTTTCATAATCCGACCCTAACGCAATACGGTCTGTTGATCTTGAAGTTTAGTAGCTAAGAAATCTTTTATTCGGTCCAGCAACACTGTCGAAAACTTCTCCTGGTGCCGAAAGTAGTGTGATTCCTCCGCAGTCCTCACACTTGTTCAGATCTCTTATCTTTGATATCTTGATGAGTTATCCTTCTTCCCAGTCTGTCGGTGGCATATGTCCTCCAGCCAATATCTTTCTGAATCGAACGTGGGACATGTGTGCAGTTATTTCCACGTGTGACCTCAATACTTCACCCGGTATACTACTAGGTTCTGCTGCTTTACCACTGTTGCTTCGTTTGATGGCCATCCTGATTTCTTCGATTGAAGGTGGAGTGACATCTATAGGAAGGGTGCTGTTTTGATATTGGGTGGGTTTAGTGGAGCTGGTTTATTCAAGAGTTCCTCGAGGTGTTCCAACAATCTGTTCCTCTGTTCTTGAATCTCGGTGATTGTCTTGCCTTCTTTGTCCTTAGCCGGTTTCTCTGATTTACCATATTTACTTGCCAGTTTCTTCGTCTCGTCAAATGGTTGTTTTATATTTTCTTCTCTTGCAGTTGTTCCGTATGTCGTTGCTAGCTCTTTCACGTATTTCTGCTTGTCGGCTCTAATGCCCTTCTTTACCTGTTTTTTAGCTTCTGTGTATTCAGCTTGTGCCTTGACTTTCTCTGTTGTTGACTGCTGTCACTTTATTACTTGAATATTGTCTAACGTTTCGATAGAGATCCATACCTCATGATGCTTCTTGCGGCCCAACACATTGGACTTATGCTTCTTTGATCCCTTCCCAGTTGTCCTCGTAGTAGTCTCTTCTCTTTTGAGAGTTGTGTTGAATTGATTTTGTCAGTGTCTCAAGGGAAGTATGTATTGAACCTCTGTAATGCTGTTTCTCCAGTTTTTCAACACTTCTTTAGCTTCAGTTTCATCTTGGAAGCTACATTAGCTCCTCTACTGGTTCTCACATCTTCCATTGACCTGAATTTCTAAGGGATGCAAATATGATCTATCTGGTTCTCCGTGGTGTGGTCCGGTGAGGACCATGTAGCTTTGTGTACGCGATCGTGTGGGAAAATTGTGCCGCCAATAACCAATTTGTTGAATACACATATATATATATGTCACTAGCCATTCTTGTTCTTTTATTCTAGTACATGTCGTCCCATGATATGCTCATACTCGGTGTTGTCCTTTCCGACTTTGGCGTTTAGACCTGCCATCAGCATTATCAGGTCCCTTCCTGAGCACATCACTACAATCGATTGCAGCCTCTCATAAAACTGATCTTTATCGTCGTCACTTATATTATTGGTGGGTGCATAGCATTGGATAATTAATTGTAATTCGCCACCTCTTTGTTTTGAGTGATGCTTTGATGATCCTGGATCCATGAGATTACTTGTGCTTCTTTGGACAGCATCAGTCACTCCCTGGGTGTTTAGACCTCTTCGTTAATAGACTACAGTGTTATCACTTCCATACTAACCTTTGCAGTCCAGCTTGGATAAAATGTGTTTCGCAGATTCCGAGTACCATCAAGTTATATCTCCTCATTTCCGTTGCTAGTTGACTAGTCCTAACGACCCCCACCTTGCACAGAAATTCCACGTATCTATAAAAATTATTGCTTTGTTGTTAGGAAGAGCAGCAGCATCCGACTTTCGACGAACCACATCTATCAACATGTGGCGTCATGATACTCCCTTCAACTCCCCAGATAGAGTTTAAACTGTTTATTCTGGCTAGCTTAATTTTAGTAATGTTGTTTTTTACGGGATGGGGTTGCCAACCCCACACTCAACCCACCGTCTTTACCCGGGCTCGGAACCGGCAGCAGCCCTAGAAAGAGGCACAGGCGGAGTTTAATATATAAACACCAAACGAAAAAAAAGATTAACTAAAATGGCTCGGTAGTTTAATATGGTGAAGAGAAATGAAGTGGCTGTAGGTCTGCACCAACTTGAAACTCTTTAGTGACCCGTTATCTGATTCCAGTAATATCGCATGATTGATTGTTATTGAAATATACATATCGTCAATACTTGTATAAAATTATCGTGAATAGCGGAATTAAATAAGTCAAATACGAGAATGGATTTACGAATACATATACTTTGTACACTTATTGATCCGAGCAGGAAATCGGAGGGACGAAGCGAAGAAAGTGAAGTGAAACGACACGCAGGGGAGAAGGCATGTAAACCAACCCGATTTGACCATGCGTTAATCAACATGTATAGTCACAAAAACAAGCTGCAGACATGTGATGAGTAGGATAAGGTGTACACGCACATATGCTGACAAGTGAATAATGAACAAGGTCAAAACGTGACTCAAGAAGAAAGGATAAATTGGCCTGTCCAAAAGCTAGAATAAGTTATGTGGGCTTAACAAAATAACCGACATAGTGTCATTTAAAACAAATGGTATCTCGTGTCCTCCATTTTTTTCACAACAAACTTCATGTTTTTACGAAAACCATTTCTAAAGTATAATAATTTCTTTACAAAGCACCTAAATAAAACATATTTTTAAACAACATAACTTTCTATTTCTAAAATATCACAAATGTTAAGAATCAACTGTTAGTAGGTTTTTCTAGTAAATACAGAAGCTAATTGGTTTAATAATGTCATCTGTAGCACTGATGAACCCTGTATCAATTCGTAATTGTCTAGATCACTGCTTACGTTAAAATTCCGACAGAATATCGAATTTCTCCACAAAGTAAAAAAACAAAGCACCAAAAAACTAAGAGGCATGAAAACAATTGCGTCACATACTACTGTGTTTATTAGTTCAAATGTATGTGTAGCCACGCACAAATAGGGAAGAGTAATCGTGATCATTAAAATAGGGTGTCTGAATTACTACAAAGTCAAACAAAATCATATGACCCAACAGGAGTAGATGACATTCATCATCCTCTATTGCCAAACACATAGTTGAAACAGGTCACAAGTTTAATCTTAGCTTGGCTTTGGTGGTGTTGTACAAAAGTGTTAAAGGGCCTATACTAAGATTTATTAAAGCCTTGGCCATCCGAAAATTCGAAACCCTTTTATGAATTCAAAAACAATTTGTGCTCACCTTAAACTTAACCTCCATTTGTCTAGTCGACCTTATATATATATATATACGTCCTTATCAAGTATATGTGTGATCAGATTTTTCGAAATTTATTGTGCTAATATACGACATAGTTTTGATAATTTTTGGCTTTTTATTAGACTATTCAAGTACTTTCAACACTAAAATATATATTACTTTGAAATTAACTAAAATAAGAATTGATTTACAATGTGAAATTGTGAAAAAAATATCACTTATTTTGAAATATTCAAAGAAACAGAAAAATAACTCTTGAAGTTTCATGATCCAACTGTTGAATGAATGTTTGTTAGAATTTTAATTTCACTTAGAAAATAAAAGAATATAAAAGGTTTTAGTGTTAAAGATGAAGAACAAAACTACAATGAAACTTCCAGTATAGTGAAACAAATGATCAATGTTGTGTCCATTGTATCGACTTTATGTCGATTCCCTCTGATACCATTTCCCATAAAGGACTGAAATCCAAAAAAATCAAACAAAAAAGTTAAGCAGAGATAGGAAACATTCAACCAAGGAAAGTAAACCACTTTTAAAAGCTGGAAACTTACTTTACACTACATTGAATATATTTGAAACTAAATTGCTATTCTGATATATATATATATATGTTTATATAATTTTATATTGATTACAAGGGGCATCGAATACATACACGCCACACAAGTCACTTCATTTGTGTGTGGACTGTGATACTGCCCGGGTGCCCAGACAGAAGTAGGTGGTTTTCTTAGAGGGCCACATCCCGAGCCTTTGACCTAAAGGTCTGATCCACAAGGCAGTGGAGCAATATAAGGAGATGCAGTCCCATGGTAGTCGGTGGCCAACAATTGGTTCATACGCCGTTTGTCCCTTCAGGATACTGGGGCCTATGTGGACCAGTGGTTTGGAATCAGGGTTTTCCAACTCCCTTAGGTGGACTTTCCATGTCCACCAACCCGGTTAAAGCGCCGGACATTCGCTTTTCGTCCTCTTAATTTCGTAAACAACACTGACGCCGCGAGACGGCAGTGAGGACTTCCCCTGGCAGTGGCTGTATACGCTTAGCCACTTGATAATATTTCGAGAGGGAGAGGTGACTCCCCCCACCCTCGGCTGTACTAGGGCATTTTGGGGGCAGTGGTTGAAAGTCGACTATTATACTCTAAAATATGAAGTTTACAGTTTTTCAAATGAATGAAGTACTATTTGAAAAACACACATACTATCAACTGAAATTTATATAGTATACAGTCTAAACATAGAATGAGTAGATGAATAGCTGATTTGGATATATAATTGCATTATTAAGTGGATTTTTTGAAACATTTATTTACAAGGAACACAAAAATGTAAAACAGTAGATTATCCATTAAAAAAACTTGTAAATCACAATGCATCAACAAAGTGAACTCCATAGAATATATATGTTTAATCAACACTATTTTTTACGGTATGTAGGAAAAGAATTTAAACAAAAGCTATCTTTCAAAATACCGTTAAGATAAAGATTTATGCATATATATATATATAATTGTTTATCCAAGTGAATGCTGGAAACAGTATTCAGCGAACTTTTAAAATGGTTAAACATTAATTACATCAAGAAATAATATACCTAAAATGCAATTTTGAAAGAATTAATTAACTAACCTCATTTCACGGAGCCGCTGAACATGTTTACTTAGTTCAGCGACTGTAAAATCAACTTCCTCTTCAGTGGTGAATCGTCCGATACCAAATCGAATGCTAGAATGTGCTAAATCCTCTTCAGTCCCTATTGCTCTTAAAACATAAGATGGCTCTAGTGAAGCGGATGTACATGCACTAAAATGAAATTAATATAATGTAAGATTACAGATCAAAGTATACCAATAGATAAAATCAATAGTTCTTAAAAAAATCGATTAACATATCTAACCAATCTCCTAACACATCGGTGATTTTCACTACAATAAAAATATTCATAATAAATAGGTGATTATAATCCCCTTCCTAATGATCTGATTTATATGCTGGATTTTAGACATTCAATTTCAACGCTGGGTCATAAGTCTGATTCCTTTACAACTAAATCAGTTCGAGATGCTGAGTAGTATTATTGAACCTCTCCTATTCTGGGATTAGCCCTGACAACTTCGTCTCTTTCTGTTAATGATGTGGTATGAAAGAACGCTGCAAAGGGCTGGCTTCTGTTGGTCCTTCACGACTCCCTAGCTGGGGTCCGAGAGATGGAGCGACACAGTGGCTAGAGACGTTATCAGATATGGCTCAGAATAGAAGCCAGGGGCGATCTTTCTGTAACCTTCTTTTACTTTCTTCATAGAAAGTGGTTGTATCTTCCTTAACTAAAAGATCTCTTCTAATTGAACCTTTCCATCTCCCCCATTATTATTATTACGCTATCTTACATTAATCTGTTCGTTATTGTTCTTTTTTTACGCTCCTCCCTTTTTTTCCTTGTCTTCAAATTCTCATTGTTTTGTGTGGTGCATATTTATTTGGTGCCCTCTTGTACCAATATTTATGTGTAATAAATAAAATAATAAAATCGGTTAATGAGGTGAGGCAACGTGAACCAATGTACATGTGTACTAAATTCCAGGTTGTGACTGACTGATTAAGCTCAGTAATTCGAACTTCTCGCTACCGTTGTACTTCACTTTAAACAGACCCAAGTCAACGTTTAATCTAGAACAAGGACTTAGTACAATCTAACGATTTGGGAACACTTCAACTGCGTGCGACACCAAGAAAAACTGATCATTTACATTGCAGCGAATGATGCGATGAGGCAATCAGCAATCGCCATAATGATAAATACACATGATTGGGCAGTGAATATTATTTTTGCGAGGGATGAAAGACAAACTGCTGATAGCTTTAATTTCTTATATATAGTACAAATTAGAAAAACGCTGTAGGAGAAAATCGCATTCGAACGCCATGACTATTATAGATTTTATTTATTTGTTTGAACATATAAATATCGGTACAAAGGGGCACCGAATACATACACGCCACACAAGTCACTTCATTTGTGTGTGGACTGTGATACTGCCCGGGTGCCCAGACAGAAGTAGGTGGTTTTCTTAGAGGGCCACATCCCGAGCCTTTGACCTAAAGGTCTGATCCACAAGGCAGTGGAGCAATATAAGGAGATGCAGTCCCATGGTAGTCGGTGGCCAACAATTGGTTCATACGCCGTTTGTCCCTTCAGGATACTGGGGCCTATGTGGACCAGTGGTTTGGAATCAGGGTTTTCCAACTCCCTTAGGTGGACTTTCCATGTCCACCAACCCGGTTAAAGCGCCGGACATTCGCTTTTCGTCCTCTTAATTTCGTAAACAACACTGACGCCGCGAGACGGCAGTGAGGACTTCCCCTGGCAGTGGTTGTATAGCCATGGCCATGTGAGAGCATTTTGAGACGAATAGCGGACTCTACCCCTCCTCGGCCGTACCAGAGCATTTGGCAGCCTTGTACACAATTACAAATTAACAATAAATAAAAGTACTGATATGACAGGATGAAAAGACAAAACTACATTCTTTTACTGATTGTGACTTGTTCAACATTACTTCCGTTTTTTGATACAATGTGATAATTTTGGTGGAGTTTTGTTCTCTGAGCTGAATGGTTTGGTCGTGGAGCTTTCATCGTTCTTCTAAACGACATCATCAGCACAAACTTCAGATAGAAGTGAAGTGTTTGAATTTCTCCATATGTCTCAAAGCTTGTTCTGTGCACCTCGATGTTGATTGGTTCTTATTGACCTTAAATTTGTCGTTGTTTACTTCTTTGTTTTGGTTGTGTCTCCCATTGTTTTGATTTTTGTTCTTATGTTTGTGCATGATTTTTCTGATTGGTTGATAAATTGGATTGATTTCAATATGCCTGTTGATTGCTGATTGACATGAGTGCCAGGCTTCTAAAAATTCCCTGGTGTTTTTGGAGTTTCCTCTGTCTAAGATTTCCGCATTTTTCCAATCGAATGACTGTCCGTTGTTGTCCACGTGAATTGATATAAGTGAAGAGATATCATAACGTTTGACTGCTAATTGATGTTCATGTAGGCGAAGGTGAAGGGGGCGTCCGCTTTGTCCGAGACACATATGGAGAAATTCAAACACTTCACTTCTATCTGAAGTTTGTGCTGATGATGTCGTTCAGAAGAACGATGAAAGCTCCACGACCAAACCATCCAGCTCAGAGAACAAAACTCCACCAAAATCATCCACCTGAGCTACAAATCTTCTCCACCATCTCAAATGTGATAATTACTCAGTGTCGTATTTATTTTTTTCCAATGTGATATTTTATTCGGTATTAAATTAGCATGAATTATGCTCGGCATGACACGAAACATGTGATTTGTTATAACCCTGGGTGTTTTTCATATGCGATTTAAAATTTCTAGAGCGAGAAGTTAGGGTACTTCCGGACTACGGTACCATGATTTGCAGACTAAATTATCGAGCTACTCCTAATAAGTTCATTAATTATTAGAACTCAATCTATAGTACCTTCATCATTTCTCTATAATTTGAAGCTCTTCTATTAACGCTCCATCCTGATTGGATATTTTTGATTTAATTTCTTAGCCGATATATATATATATATATATATTCACTTTGGGTGAGACAGTTATTCACCGTAGACAATGAAGGATTGAGCAAGATCATGAATCGATTGAAGTTAGACATTAACACCGTTGGATACCAACTCAGTGGTCTAGAGGTTACGTGTTCACGCGTGAGACCAAAGGTCCTGGGTTCGAATATCGCGTGTGGGACGGTGGATGCGCACTGCTCACGAGTCCTATACTAGGAGCAAACGGCTGTACAGTACTTCCAGGTTTCCGCTGGTGGTCTAGCTTAGATCGACTTTTGAATTCTACTGTTAAAATATTTTTGACTGATTAACATCAAGGTCATCGATAAAGTCGCTCTAAGTCGTCGATATTTTAAGGTTTTACCATCATCCCTCTACTGAAATATAACACTGATAAATGTCACACTTAGAAGTTATTAGTAAAACAGTTCCGTTTTTAAACTTCTGGATGTCAATAAACTTTGAGATATATTTATTGAATGAGAGGAAACTTTGACAGTAAAAAAGGTAATATGGCACCTTAGATTCAAACTTATAACCCATAATCTTAAGAATTCAACGCTCAAACCACCTAAACTACAGCGTCACAAAACCACTGCTAAATGGTGTGCGTTCAAAGAATTATGAGAGCGGAAAGTTTACTTATGTATTGATTACTGAGCTATCCATACATTTTTCTGGAGTCATTTATCTATGGTGATATAAGCTTAAACCCAGTACCTACAAGCACAAGTTTGCCTCGGAGACTAAAACATTAAACTACTAGTGATTGTAACAACTTTAACTTTTTTAGGCAGAATTCCAGAGAAATTGGTAAGCGGCCTAATACTTGGAACTATTATAATACAAGGGGTTAAAATATCTTTATATTTTATTCAATTAAAACAATTACTTTAAAAGTAAATACATAAACACTAAGTTAGGCATATTTCTCTTAGTGATTTTGTATATATCATACACCAAAAAGCAAATATGATTTGAAAATGAGTACAAAAAATTTACAATCACCTGCCGGATGATAGAGCGAAATTCTATAAAGCCATGAGTAAGCTTTCACCCTCAACGCAAGCAAAACTAAAGTTTACACAGCCTGGATAACGTTGGATCGGATCACCATTGAGGGTAACATGTTGAATTTTGGAAGCTATACCATCGATTAAACGTTTACTTAACATGGAAACATGTTCCTAATCATCCTGTTTTGATTTGTAATAGCAAGCACAACTTTGTATCAGTGAATTTATGTTTTGAATAAATGATGGATATCCGAAAAGACAGGTTTTAGTTACTAATATCACAGTACAAAAAAGGTTAGTAAGTGAAAAACAGATAAAAAGTTGAATAGCTAATTACTATGGACGGAAATGTTTTCAAAAGACAACTGATAAGCTGTACATAAAATTGTGTTTGTTAATATAGTTGAGTTGACATAACCTCGTCTACTTACATTGTTCATTTCAGACATAAGAAAATACTATTGAGAAAAAGTAGAAATTATCCAGTTCTGCCACTGAACTAATTATTAAGGTGGAAAATGGGTAAAATTAAGCAAAAGTGAATATTAATATGTCGCTCTGATACATTCGTAAATGTTCTTCCGGAAATAGAGCATTTTTTAGTCAGAGTAGGACAGGTTATCTAAAGATTTAACTAATACTAGATTCCAAAGTCCATTCAATAGAGAGTATTCTTCACATGACATGAACAGTGCTACTTATATCGCATGCAATTAATATTAACGTTTTTAATCCTAAAAACAATTTCATATTATTATCGTTAAAGTTTCCCTAATGTTTTATTACTATGAGTTCATGTGACTCTAAACAAAGTTATACACTTACAATCCCATGGGATAAAAATAAAAATACCAAATGAGTACATCATAATATTTGCTGCGATCCATAATAATATGAATTATCACACAGAAAGTAAAATTGACCTATCCACACTGCATAATTGTACAGCTTATACAGCACAGAAGAAACCAATTACGACCAGAAACATGTCAGATTACTGCATTAGTGATAATTTAGAAAGACTCAAAGTCAACTGGACTACATATTATGACCAGTCGAGGATAAGTGTTATTTACCTGGATGAACGATATAAAATACAATAAGTGGAAAGACAAAATATTGTAGTACTAAATTGAGGCTTACAATGTACATAAGACAGTCCTTTGGGATTGCCAATGCGTACTTTATGATACTGTGCTGGTTAACAGAGTTGCGCACATTATAATATGCGCAAGCATCAACTTCTGATCTAGTCATAATACTGAAATTAGTTATCGATTGTGAGATTGCGAGCAGGGATGAAGACTCTTTTGGGATATATATTCCACTATTCTAACTTCGACCAAGTATGTAATGAACATTTCATGTTTCTGCCAATAATAAGGGGAATATTGTGAAGGTAGAACTTTGGGGACTCCTATAAAGGACTATCGTTTATGTTTTTATTGCATGATTATTAGACGCTTGGATGATAGTACTTAATATTATCCTGGTTGTAAGCTTTTATGTGGCACATCAGTTATAGTCCTTTGTTTACCTTACTAAATTTATGGTGAAATAATTATGGACCTAATACTTAGTTCCATTGCACTTAAGGGGTAGTTATGCACATATTGTGCTTTCTTATTTATGCTGATCTGCAGTGAAAATTAATGCATGCTATCACGCTACTTTGAGCTATGAATCGAACTCTACAGTGATTTATCTACCTCGTTATATTCTAGCTATCGGGCAAGTGAGCATAGAAAACAGTATCCTAGACCAATAAGCGTTAATTATTCATCTCGGTTGTTATCTCACTGTCATTGAGGAAATAGTCGAAGAAAGATCATTGTGTCGATGACTAACAAGTAATTAGTCCTATAAAGGCAATCTAGGTGAATAAATCAATAATCGGACTAGAGAATACAACTGCATAAAACAATGTTTTGTGAAGCGCACACATATTTGGCGCATTCTTGTACCAATATATATGTGTTCAAATAAATAATAAATAAATAGAAGACAACTGGTCCTACAATAGATGGCCCGAATGCACGAGCCCCAATACAACACAAGAAGCTGTCTTTCGGCTTCACATTAGTTCCGATAGTCAAACACTTAAATTCTCCTAAAAAACAGTGGTGGAGACTTCGCAACGGCCAAAAAAACTGATGTTAAAAAAGTGGTATCTATTTATTGTAAGAATATAACACAATTCTCATCCACTAGCGGAAAGACTCATGTCAGTGAAAAATACGAAATTAATAACACTCTAACTATCATTCTTTGAAAATCTACACAGAGCAAAATGAAACAATTTAAAAGACATCTTAACTGTCCTATGTTATGACGAATTTTGATCAATCTATCCATGTACTCACTATCCAGTGAATTTCGATATCTATAACGAATCGAAAGTTTGGAAGGAACATCAACTACTAAAATCCCCCAAAAACATATGATTTAAATAGCATTCAGATAATTTAGAAGATATGGCAAACTGTATTAGGTTATTCTGAAGCGAGACGACTATCGTGTACATTTCCAAAAAAACAGCTTAGAAAATAAAGGTGATAGACACTAAAGTAAAAATGTTTTTGATAGATGAGTCCAAAATTGTGTCTCTTATTGCTGGACGCAACAAAAACCGATTCACAGGAAATGGACTGGTTTTTGTTCAGGTTGTGGGTTTATTGAACACTTTTCACACTCCATCAAACCCTTAACCACTTTGGATATTTCAAGCTGACAATCACTGTTTCCGGATGACATGACTGGTCTTGAATAGTTAGACACGGCCGTGGTTGGGAGCTATCTTAAAGAGGGGTGTCTGAAAATCTCATTAATACTTCGAAAGTCATTTACAAAAGTATCTCAGTGTTAGTGTTAGGTAGAATTACATGAAATTGTATCACCAATACTAGGGTGACTTACGTTAATCATGATAAATTAACTGAGTGACAGAAACCTTTAAAAGGTATTGGAAAAACTGATATTGAAAAACAAGATCTCAGCCTAATAAAAGAAACAAAATGGATAACACTAATGTTAGCGGGACATAGACTAGATTAAAGCATGCTCAATGCATGATTGCTTTGGTGCACGCTGATTGGCTAATTCTTATCCAATCAGCGCTAGTCGATAGTTGGAGAATATTCTGGATTCTTCTTATGTAAAAACTATAAATATACTGACGTTTTCCCCTATTGTGCTTCCTACTGGCTTCTGACTTGCTATTTGGAATATAATCTTTTTCCTGTTCAACCGTGTTCTGATTTGGGGACTTGTCGAGTGAATCGGTGTCCGAGAATACTAAGCAATAGGAATAGCTGGGTCATTAACCGTATGAAGAAAGAGAGATTATAACAGTGGCGACGGGGAAAAACTAAAGAAAAATGGCGATTTCTTTAGAACAGTTACGGGTAATATTACAGCACCAGCAGAAGTTGTTAGCCTTGCAACAACAACTATTGAGCACACTTTTCACTCGACCAGAAAATAAGAAATCTGTTTATGATGCAGTAACAGACATTTCAGAAGCATATCTAGTGGAGGGTTCAAATCCCTTTATACCTGAATCAGAACGTAATATTTGTAACGTTTCCGGCTCACAGCAAGAAAATACTGTGCTGAATGCTCATAAAGTTGTGGCAATACGAGATTATCAAGAGTCAGACCCTGTAGATGAAGCCCGGAGTTCAGAATTGAATGAAACACTACTGGTCCTGTCTAGCTCTGAAAATAAACTTCAGCTAGAACAAAATTATGGCCCACGTGATATTAGCCAAGAAAGCTATGAAGACTCGTATTCAGAAAATAACTGCAGTGACACAACGAACCCAATTATACCGAATGTTACTCAAAATCATTGTGAGACAGAAACTTATATTGAATCAGCTTATCCGATTTCTAATGACAATGTATCAGACATGGGTTCTCAGAACAATGCATGTTATTTTGATGAAATTTCTTATAAAAATCAGGAAAATATATCAGCTGAGTCAAATTATGGTCAAAAGTCTAATTTAATTTTGTTAGATGATGATTTCCGTAATGATCCATTATACACTGATGAAATTCCTAATGGATTTGAAAGTAATGCTTCAGAAGAATTAAACTTTGACCTCAAACCAAAGGTCGTTCATTATCATCTAGTCGTTTCTAGTGGATTCGACATTCAATGCGAGAAACGTCGTTTAAATAAAGTCCTATTATTTGTAACTTGGAGATATAAGGATCCGACATTGTTTCGCGGAGGAGGAGAATGTTGGAGAATTAAAAGTTATGCATACTTTTTTTTAAGAAAAATCAAAACGCCGGGAACAGACATGTCAGTCTCTGTGCAAGGAAAAAGTGATAATTCTTCATTGCCTAGACGATGGACTAATCGAAAGCACAAGCCAGTCACTCAGTTGCAGTTGGACCCTAGCACCAGATCCTACGAATCTGCTCAGAGGGGAGGTGTTAGCGGGACATAGACTAGATTAAAGCATGCTCAATGCATGATTGCTTTGGTGCACGCTGATTGGCTAATTCTTATCCAATCAGCGCTAGTCGATAGTTGGAGAATATTCTGGATTCTTCTTATGTAAAAACTATAAATATACTGACGTTTTCCCCTATTGTGCTTCCTACTGGCTTCTGACTTGCTATTTGGAATATAATCTTTTTCCTGTTCAACCGTGTTCTGATTTGGGGACTTGTCGAGTGAATCGGTGTCCGAGAATACTAAGCAATAGGAATAGCTGGGTCATTAACCGTAAGAAACCAGAGATTATAACAACTAATGATAAGTTATTCATGTTTTTAGATGACAAGAAGTAAATAGTAATCTTTTTGAAAACTTACTTTCATTTCCTCGCTGGCCAAACGGCTTGCTTCACCTAAGCCAACAACTAAAGCCGTAGGAAGAGTACCAGATCTTAACCCACGTTCCTGTCCACCTCCATTTTGCTGAGCTTCTAATCGAACCCTGGGTCGACGACGTACGTAGAGAGCACCAATCCCCTGAGGACCATATATCTTGTGACCACTAATGGACATGAGATCAATCTGAAAGGAGTTCCACAAAAATATATCCTTAAATTTATCACATCACAACAATGTAATGCATATGAAAAGTAATAAACCATTACACAGTAATATTTACGCTCACAAAATTAAGTGATTACTGAATATTAATGCATACAGTGCAAGCATGTCAGAAGAAACCTCGTTAAATTCAAATGAGTTGGGGAAATCCTGGGGTTTGGTAGTTAACTTCATAATTTATAGCTAGAGTGAACTTCATATATTGACTAAGTGACGATATTGATAATATGAAAAATCCAAGTAAGACACTTAAATAATCGTTTGGACTGTGGCACCAATGCTTATAAAATATTCTAAGTTAGACAGGTCATAATACCGCTTGGTGGACAGTCAATTTTTGAAAATCACATCTATTAAATACTAAACCGTCTTAGTTTTTCAACACATATAGTTTACTGATGACTTTATAATTGATGATTTCTATCAACAGACGCGGGTGTTGTGGGGGTTAAGTCAGTAATAGTAACAAGGTGTTGACAATAAATAGATCGAGAGTAATTCTACAAAAATGCCTCTTAGCAAGTTTTATTGTGAGGATAAGAAAACGGTTTGATCTTTGTACAAGGTAGCTAAATAACTGGCCTATCGGGATGGTAAACACTTAGTGTGGAAGATGTAATCAAATCTACTTTACAGTAGACTACAGGACGTCTAATTGTATAAGCTAGTTGTTAAAATTTCCAGTGTGCTAAATAGTAACAAAAGTGATTGTAATCAATGATATTACAGATCCAGCTATTAAACAAATATAAGGAGTTTGGGATAACGCACATACTGATGGAGTTTCCGTCAATCTTAAAACCAGGGTCATTATGTATGGATGACTAATCATATTATTAGGCTCAAAACGAGACAAGTAGTTAACGAGAGGCAGTATAAAATATCTGGGGAATATTTAGAAAAACCAACCAAGTATAGCTTGATCTTTTGTAAGAAACTAGTTTACGATGAAATGTAATTACATTCTGTAAAGAAGCACTGTCTCAATTCAGACTACTGTGAATTACATGAATGTCAATAAATAAATTTATAACTGTAAAACGTAGGTTGCCATGCAGTAACACATTAGTGATTACCAAAACTCATATTATTGTCATCAAAGGGGAAATTTAAGGAGTGACACTGCAGACATTTTGTGAGTAATTACAGACATCCGCATAAATATTTCAATAGAGTCTACAAACTGGCTGACGAATTCGCCACAACGAATTGAATTGATACACCAAATCACCGTGTATTCATATTAGTGAGTATGCCTTTCTTCTAAGAACGACAATGTATCTAAATTCATACTTCATTACGAAAAGTTCTTGTCGGACTAACTAGAAAACTACCAGACAACCTGAAGCATTTCTAGAGATAATATAGCTTATTAGTTCGAACATAAACTTACTGACCATAAAAAAACTCTTCAATGGCCCAACCTCGCAATCTGGACACTTCGAGGGCACATAAAACTCACTACTTTTCAAATGACTACATGCTCCACGGATACGGAAAGTACCGTCAGGCTAGGGAGTACCAACAGAAACTGCAATCCTTCATTCCTAAGTCCAGAAAAGTGGCAAACTGACTTTTAAAAATCATCTATTAAGTAATTAAAAACGAAAACGATGGCTAGCAGAAACTACTTTAGTCATGAATGCCAGCTTATGTCAGAATGAACCGTCATGATTTTTGATTGGGTGTAGTCAGAATCGTCAAATAAAAAAGGAAACCAAAACATTTCGCATCTGTGCCTCAAAAGCAGTAATGGTGAGATAGAAACCTACATTCATAGCATTGACGTCAATTGGCACTTTTCCGAAAGCTTGTGCAGCATCAGTATGGAAGAAAACCCCTTTACTTCGACATAGTCTTCCGATTTCTTCGATGGGCTGAAGGACACCTATCTCATTATTAACAGCTATGACAGAGACTAAACTCGTTTCGGGCTTAATAGACCGTTCCAGAACCTATAATAGATCATAAAAAAGAATGTTAGTACCTCCAAATCTAGAATTCCGTTTTTCTGAACAGGTAAGTACGTAACATCAAACCCGTTGTTTTCCAAAACTCTACAGGAATCCAAGACACATTTATGCTCCTAAAATACAAATAAAATTACTCTCTAATTCATTACGATTTGTGTAGTTATAATATGCTTCTTCTTTGGGTGGTAAAACTTAGCAACACCTTTTACAGCTAGGTTGTTGCTTTCTGTCGCACCACTGGTGAAAATGATTTCTTTATGGTCAGCACCTATCTGATTGGCTACGTTCTGAAAGATTTTAAGAAGTTAGAAATGGAAAGTACCTCTCTAGCTTTCTCAACGGCTTCTTCGCAATACCAACCATACTCATGTGTGCGTGAATGAGGGTTACCAAAGTGACTGATATAAAACGGCAACATGGCATCTAAGACGCGAGGATCCTTTATTCAACAGTGAATCGCAACACAAAATTTACCAGTTGTGTAGACGCTTGAAAATCAAAATATAAAGGGCGTATAGGTTTACAGCTTCTTGATTTACTCCCATCTTCTACCAAGACTAAGAAAACAGTGAGAGTATTAAAAACCGGTTACGTTCTGCCTCAGCACAAAACTCTCGGAATATATAAACAGCTCTCCGACAAGCCAACCGAGAAAACACACACAACCTCCCGATCATCACGAACCACTTTGAACCGTTAGGTTAACCTTCAGAATCTAAAGATAGTCCATTTAAAAAGTGTAGGTAAGTCTCTATCTCTTGAAAATAAGTCACACTATGGGAATTCTTCAGATATCTTGCGACAACAACAAAAATTTAACTAAATGAACTCCTGTGACCAGTTGGTATGAGGTCCATCAGTCGACTGAACTGAGTTTACGTTGTATACTTTTACTGTAGATGAGTGTTAGTGAAAGTGAGCCGATGTAGTTAGAGACCGTGTGATGTTAGTATGAACTAATGGTCATTTTGTATTTGAGTCCGCCCTGGCTTTTGATTTCGAATACAAGACGTTCATACAAAGTACAGAAACCAAGATATCAAAACCGTTTTTGAAAATATTTGTTTATTAAGGTAATGACAATTTATACCTTTCATATATTCCTGTTTAGCCACTGGACAAAACAAACCAGTTCATCTAAAGTGTAAAAGAAGTTGAGTGTGATATTTTACAATGTTGCAGTGGTACATTTTTGACATGAATATCAAATTCAATAGGAAATCATATATTTTTATGATTGTCCCAATCATATAAAAGAATTTCGAAACAGAAGACGTTTAAAATTCAGTGCACGTAGGACAGAAGTGGTGTGCTTACGCATCAGCGAGCTTAGTAAAATTATCCAGATAAAATGGTATGATGACTCACTAGTTTATAATGACGTCATTTTTACAGCCGAACATCCATGGAACGGGTGAACAATAAAAAGCCTACACATAAACGAACCTTGTTTTCTCATATCAGCAAACTGAGTCTCAATGCCCGTTAAAGTGGCGAATAATGGACCTCATTCTAATTCATCCAGAAATTCAAACAACAATCATTAGCTCTCATGCGATGATATTTTTATACATGGGGGTCCTTATTCCGTGAAATTTGGGTTGCTGACTTTATGAATAACCGTTTCACTCAATGTTGCATACATTTTGTGATTTGTATCGCTTAGATCTCACCTGATATCTTTCCTAAAATATTCAATCAACACATTTTACGCAGAGACGACGAAATCGGAGATAATATCCATTTTAGATGTAAGTAAATACATTATTAGTGTAATGAGGCAGCTTGCAACGAAATATAATCTGTAATTGATTTAAAGACCATATCACGTGTATATAGATGCATTCTTGTGGACCACGACAACTGAATCGATAAACCATATTTGTTTTTAAAGCATAATTTGACTCAGTAAATAAAAACAGCTAAGACAATCTCGAACAGGGAAAAACGGCAACGTAAATAACACACCTTACAGTTACTAGATGATAAACAGTGAATAAAAGTGTAACATAGTTTGTGACAAACCTGAAGGATTATAAATGATGAATGAACAAGACATAGTCGTACAAGGTCAAAGAGACTCAGTGTGGTGGTGTGTGCGTAATATTGACATCGGCGGTTTAATTTTTTGATCAAGCTCCGTAGACTGGGATAAGCAAAAAGGGAAACCAATACATCCGACCACTTATAATCATTAGGCTGAGTGGTTACTCACATTAAATTTATTCTGTTTGATCTCACCATGGTTTGTCCAGCGATACAGGTTGCTGCTATACTAAGTATACCTGGATCAAGACATTCAAATACCTCCACTTGAAAGTTATTGCGCTTACGATATGGGTTTCACGCGGTTAAACGGACAAAATATTGCTTAATATCCTCTTACAACTCTTTTTGTTCACACAGTATCGATCTCCGATCAATGAACGTACAATTTATGGACTTACTAGTCAAATGTAATATAAACTATACATTATTATTATTATTATTATTCACAAACATCTTATGGGTACATAAGTGTTGTGAAGAAACCATTTCGGGTTTCTTCAAAAAATGCAATAATACACTGTTTTCAATAATGTCAGCATTATACTTGCCATTTAAAAAAAATAAAGAGCAATAATGGTAGAATATTAATAATAATGAATCGGGTCTGTGCAATTGAGAAGAATATTGAATTGAGTTTAAAGAAGGAAATGAAGAAAATAAGGGAATAGAAATAAAGGAGACGTGAAATACGCAAACAGTCTAATAGGCGTGTTTACGAACACAGAACAAGAATAAACGACTATGTGTGTATCGTTAAATTAGTAACAAAAAATAATTAAGAAAAAATAACTTATAATTTCAGTAAGATATGACGCTAGAATAAATGTTTGTGCAGTTATAGTTTAGAGTGATGCTATGAAAGTTACAATTAAATGAAAAGGATAATAAAATATCAATATGTATGAGACACATATGCATAGTGAAGATAAAACGGGTCTGGGAAGTTAATTTAAGTGTAACACAAGTTATTGTCTTAATTACAAACGTCGTAATCTTAAGAATAATATTTATTTAGAGGGAAAGAAGAGAGAAAAGAAGTGAACACTTAGTGAAAAGTTTTGATCCATGATAAGAATAATAATTGTGTGATGAATACCAATCTCACAAGGAAACCAGCAATTGAAAAAATAAAATAAAAATCCGTTAAAGCACTCGGATGAATACATTTAGATTTATGTAATAGTATTCAGAGTGAAACCGGATATTAGTATAAATATTTGTGCAATAATAATTAGGATTGATGCTATGAAAGTCAAAATTGATTTCAAAAAACAATCTGGAGTTAAATATGTTTAGAAGGATAAGAAGATATAAAAAGAATATCCAATGTGTCGGGGAACTAATAATGATATTATTAACGGAAATAATGATAAACACGAACATAAGCAGATTTCATATATTAAGATAAATAGAAATAAAACAAAATAGACGTGGAAAGATTTAAAGGTTTTATTTTGCTTTTCAAGCAATTAAATAGATGACGGACCTTGTTTGTATAGATCATTACTAAACACATTGATGTTAAATAGGTGACATGATCCACTTTCGGAAAGAAATTCATCAAGGAGACTTCTGAACCGGGTTGTTGTTTAACTGCAACGGAGGTTCATTGGCATTCTGTTCCACATGGTTGAATAGCAACTAACGAAAAAATTCTGGCGTAAGTTTGTGTGGGTTCTTGGAATCGCTAGAATATTTTCCTTATTGCGTAGATTGTGGGATGGTATCATACAGTATGAAGGGATGGGTACCGAAGAGCAAGAAATACTGTTAATAAGCCGGTAGATAAACACGAGATTTAATTTGATACCTCTGATCCATAGAGGCTCTAATTTGAGTTGTTGACATCTTTGGTGATAGTCTTTGTTGTCGGGATACCCAAGACGGCTTTTGTGAACCTACTCTGAACACCTTCAATTTTAATCAGGCCATTATGCCTGCAATTACTGTAAACTAAAGTACCATATTCAAGAATGGGTAAGATACATTTTCTGCATAACAATAATCTCGATTCGATATTATTGAAGTTTATCATTATGAATCCGATGAGCTTTCTGGCTTTGGATACTTGAGATTCAATGTTCTCAGAAAAGTTCAAACTGTTTCTATATCTTAAACCCAAGTCACAGACAGTGTTGAGAGGTTTCAGTGTATGTTTGTGTATGGCCAGATTTAGTTTAAGGCAGCGGCCAGTGTTAATAAATCCACTTTTGTCAACATTAAGTGGCAAATTCCACGAAACTGTCCGTTCGTATAACTTGTTTATTTCTTCTTGGATTACCGTTGAAATCTAGCTTTCTTTGATGGGAGAAGAGAATAAATAAACTAATTTTAGGTCATTGGCAAAAAGGGAAGGTTTACCACACTGGAAGAGGGAACACACGTCATTGATAAAAAGTGGAAAGAGTAATGGATCAACCACACTTCTTTGTATAACCCCACTGGTTACATTCACAGGTTTAGAGTAGCAAGATCCAAAGCGAACGATTTGGCTACGTTCTTCTAAAAAAGATTTGAGCCAAGATAAAAGGGGATTCTGTATGCCAAATGAAGAGAGTTTTAAAAGAAGAAGTTTGTGTGAGACACTGTCGAAAGCCTTACTAAAATCGAAGTAAAGAACTATCACTGACTGACCAACATCTCTTCTCTGGGTAATTTGATCAAAAAACTCCAGGTGCGATGTGAAACATGAGCGTTTAGTCATAAACCCGTGTTGGGATGGGCTGATCAAACTAGCCGAAAGTAAAAACGATAGTAGCTGTTTGTGGATGGTTTTTTCCATAGTTCTTGAGAGCACGGATGTCAAATTAATTGGCCTATAGTTAATAATATCACTACGTGATCTTGTTTTGAATCTAGGGGTGATAAGAGATGTTTTCCATACAGATGGATAGGTCCCATATTCCATAGATAGATTGAAACGTTTCAAACAAAATAGTGGAAATTCTCTGCTTCCATATTTCACAAATGATGAAGGTATCCCGTCAGGTCCACCATCATAAGACTTTTTCAGGGCAGCTATGGCCTGCTTGATGTTGGAGAGTGTAAAATCAATTTTCGACAGATGTCTGGATGTCAGCATTGGAAATGTAATGATGGAGTTTTCAGTTCCAGTTTTGTAGCACTGCGAGAAGTGCTTGCTGAATTGTTCGCATATAGTATTCGTGTTACAGTTTTGAAAGCTCAATCACTGGCAGGAAATGCATAAATTTCAAACCATGAAGTAAAATCCTTAAATTAGTAGTTAAATATGGTCCTGTAAGCAACTGGATGAGCAAACGATTTTGTATGTTATACCATATTTACATGACAATGCTTTCCATGGGTGTGATATATACCAACTTGTTTTATTTCTTTGCTCTAGATAGA